ATCTTTGGTCCCAGTGACCGACTCAGATTGGACCCTTCAGCTTCTTTTCTATCCTTCAAGCCTGACTTACCCTAAGTAATAAGTTAATTAAGAACATTTTTTTAGAAATATTAGAATTAGAAATATTTTAGAAATACTTGCTGCACCAGCCTCAATGCATATTTTTTTTCTGCAATAAAAACTTCTTTGCTTTTTCAACACACATAAAGAACCCAGCATCTGTACGTCAGCATCCTGTTCTTCTTGTGATTGCTAAGCACTGTGGAAGTTGACTTAAATAGCTTGAATATTTTCAGGTTTGCCCTTTCTGTTTTGAAGTAAAGATGTGCTGCATAGTAAAATGTGAGAATCTAACAAAACCAGCTGAGATGCTGTTTTTTTTTGGCAGCAGCTGTCCGTGTGTGGCTTCAGAATGCCAGATCCATTTCAAGGAAGAATAACAAGCCACCAAGTTTATTCAAGGCAATCCCCTCTCCCCCTTATCTGAAATAGCCTAGGGGAAACATAACCTCTCTTTATTTAACACATAAACAGGAGCTCCTTATTTGGATATGTTTTCACATTGGATTAATCTCTTGCAAGATTAGATAAGGTTATAGTGCAGCCTTCCTCAGTTTGTAGTCTGCAGAACCTAGTTAATTTCCAACTGAAGATGGGCCCATCCATAGGGTAGTCTATGTAGCATCTGTATGGAAATTCCACAACTTCCGCTCCCACATATTATCTTCCAGTGCCAATTACTGTAAGCAATTGTGTAATAAATCTTCCACTGATTCTACTAGGCAGTATTGGGCTTTTTATTTTTTATTGTTCTATTCAGCTTGCTAGACTGTGTTATTTCTTTTTATCATGTGTGTGTGTGTGTGTGTGTGTGTGTGTATGTGGGTATATGCATAATTTTTGTCCTGTTTATGTAGTGTATATTGGAGATGGTTACCCTTTGAGAACTGAATGCAACGAAATTTCATTTTAGTGTACATTTAAAGCAGTGGTTCTCAACCTTTTTAATGTCGCGACCCCCAACTGGTCGTAAGTCGAGGACTACTCAACCGGTCGTAAGTCGGGGACTACTCAACTGGTGCAGCACTGTTTGCAGAATGGGACGTTTGGCGGGCTCAGCAGGGCAGAGACAGCCTGGACAATTCCTATTGGCTTTTGAAAGCCAATAGAATTAGACTCTATTCAAGAGAGTCTATTCTATTGGCTTTCAAAAGCCAATAGAATAAAAGGGAGAAAGCACAGCTAAGGAAAAGGGAAAAAAATGGCGGACTGCGTTGTTTGGCGACCTCCGTGAAATGGTCGTTCAACCCCAAATGGGGTCCCGACCCACAGGTTGAGAACCACTGATTTAAAGTGACAATAAAGTTCTATTCTATTCTATTCTATTCTATTCTATTCTGTTCTGTTCTGTTCTGTTCTGTTCTGTTCCGTTCGATTCCGTTCCAGGTTGTCTAGGTAACACTACATTTAAACAAAATATTTTCCATTAATCTTCCATAATAATCTTTAGTTGATGCTCTCACATCTAAATAACTCATTGACTGAAAACAATATAAGGCCGAGTCAGGTTCTACTCTTGGAGAATACATACTCAGAGCAGATTTTGACTACCATAAAGCTTTACTTATTACTCCTCACCTTCATTGAGGACGTCTTTTAAACTCCTGAATCTAATCCACAGCACTGGAATTTTCAGATAGTGATCTAAATTATCCAAATAGTCACCAGACCTGATTCCAATTAATTTTTATGAGGTCAGCCAAATTTGACTCACTGCTGCCAGTTGTTGAAGACACTATAAAACCAATTCCTTTTCTTATATAAAACGGACTTTAGAAAACTGATGGGGGGTGGGGGGTTGTGAGAGAGTAACAAAATGGATGGAAAAATTCCTGAGTTATAATCTGACTTTAATGGCAAAACTTAATAGATGGGTTTAGCTAAACCAGTCTCACGGTATTCAGTCTCATTTGCAATCAACAGAGGAATGTGTATAGTGGTTTTAAATACTCTACATCAGCAGTGCCTGGGGAGGAGGCCAAAATAGTCAAGATGGCAGCCAGAGCAGTATGATCAAAACCCGCCTTTTTGCACATGCATCCATTGAGCTGTGATGGCGCAGTGGTTAGAATGCAGTATTACAGGCTAATTCTGCTGACTGCCAGCAGTTCGATTCTCACTAGCTAAAGGTTGACTCAGCCTTCCATCCTTCCAAGGTCGGTAAAATGAGGACCTAGATTGCTGGGGGGTTTACTCTGTAAACCTCTAAAAGCACTGTGAAGCAGTATATAAGTCTAAGTGCTATTGCTATTGCTTTGATCACACAGCTGTGACTGTCAGCTTGCCTTGTTTGATTTCCCACTGCAGATATGCCTCCCCACTACAGGTGATCCTCAACTAACGACTACAGTTGGGACCAAAATTTTAGTTGCCAAGGAAGGCGATTATTAAGTGAGTCAAGCTGGACTTTATGACTTTTGCCACTGTTGTTAAGTGAATCATTACACTTGTTCAGTGAATCGTGCGGTCATTAAGCAAAGCGGCTTCCCCCATTGACTTTGCTTGTCAGAACTTGGCTTTGAAGATTGCAGATGGCCATCGCATGACTCCAGGACATGCCAACTGTCATAAATATGTGTTGGCTGCCAGCCATCTGAATTTTGATCACGCTGGGATGCTGCAATTGTTGTGAGTGTGCAGACTGGTTGTTAGTCACTTTTTATAGTGCCACTGTAACTGAATGGTTGCTAAATGAATGGTTGTAAGTCAAGGACTATCTGTAAATGAAACCACTTTAGTGACTATAGAGAGGAGGTAGTGCTTCCGAAAGGCGTTACTTAACCAGTGCGAAGGTAAGCCTGTGTAATTCAAGGCTTATGTAAATAGAACTACAGGTAATCCTCGACTTACAACAGTTTCTTTAGTGACCGTTCAGAGTTACAATGGCACTGAAAAATGTGATTGGTGACCCTTTTTCACAGTTACGACCACTGCAGCATCCCCATGATCATGTGATCAACATTCAGATGCTTGTCAACTGGTCCCTATTTATGACCGTTGTTGTGTCCTAAGGTCATGTGATCCCCTTTTGTGACCTTCTGACAAGCAAAGTTCAATGGGGGAAGCCAGATTCACTTAACAACCGTGTTCCTAACTTATCAGCTGCAGCAATTCACTTAACAGCCATGGAGAGAAGGAGTCGTAACATGGGGTAAAATTCACTTAGCAAACGTCTCATTTAACAACTGAAATTTTGGGGTCCATTGTCATGAATTGAGGACTACCTCTAGTCAATCTGCCTTCCTCAGGATTGGAAGCTGCAGAGAAATCTCTTCTAAATAATACGGTTAAAGCAGAAGTATGAAAATCTTTTCTTCTTGCCCAGTGGAAAGACTAGAGGTTCTGTTCCTTACAAGGAAACTAGGAAAGAAGGTGACATCCCGCATCAGTGGGAGCAGGAGAGATGATCCATGTGAAATAAGCTTAGTAAACAAATTGCTAATGGAGAGAGCAAAGGCTGGGAGAAAAAAACTTCAGAGGTGGCTAATAACAGTGGCTATAATAAGAGCTATCTGATGTCTAACAACAACAACAAGTTGGAAGGGACCTTGGAGGTCTTCTAGTCCAACCCCCTGCTCAGGCAGGAAACCCTACACCATTTCAGACGAATGATTGCCCAGTCTCTTCTTAAAAAAATGTCTCAGCGTTCCAAACCAGATCTGCACTTCATCACTTGCAGACCAGTCGATCACCTACTGTAATGAGTGGGAAAATTTTGCACACGTCAAAGCTAATATTTATCTTAGAATAAGAGAGACATTACTTTTATATAGGCATAGCTAATGACAGCTTTGGGTTACTGTATATCATGGCCTAGAGCAGGGGTAGGCAACCTTGGCTCTTTTATGACTCGTGGACTTCAACTCCCAGAATTCCTGGCTGGCTCAGGAATCTGGGAGTTGAAATCCACGAGTCATAAAAGAGCCAAGGTTGCCTACCCCTGGCCTAGAAATAAAGGCACTGCCATGGGGAAAAAAAACTGAGTAGAGGTAATCCTTTCAGTTACTGACTGTTAAAAGTCACAATGGCAGCAAAAAAATGGCTTCTACCTGGTCCTCGCACATACAACTGTTGTAGCATTCCCATAGTCAAGTGATTAAAATTTGGGTGCTTGGTAACTAGCAGGCATTTAACAAAAGTTTCTGTGTCCTGGGTGTTATATGATTGCCATTTTTGACCTTCCCAGTGGCTAGGTCAATGGGGAAGCTGGATTTCCTTAACAACTGAATGCTTCGCTTAACAACCATGGCAATAAGGTTGTAAATTTGGGAATGATTCACTTAACAACCACCTTGTTTACAACAAAAATTCTGGTTCCAATTGTGGCTGTAAGTTGAGGACTATCTGTATGGACAGGGCACCACAATGCTGTAGCTAAGTGTAAATTATATACAGATTGTGCATAAACATGTTTCTGTTCAACTGATGCACTAGTTGTCCCACTTTTGATCGCTCTGTGGCAGTTTTAATTTTGCATTTTGCAAAAAAAAAATAATCAGTTTTCTATGGAGTATCTTGAAAGCAGATCTAAGGAGTTGAAGCTGTGGCTTTTGGGGGTTGGGCTGGGGATGGGTGAATAGCCATTTCCTCCTCAGGAAACCACCTTGCTTAAGCCCAGGTCTGGGTTCAAGCAGAAAAGCATGCTTCTCAAGGGTGGCAGCAAGACCAGTGTTTGCAATTGTGTAGTTGTTGCAGGAAGAGGCGAGATCGCGCACATTCCAACTGACGCACGGGGTGTTACCGCTTCCGCTGTGTGTGTGTGTGTGTGTGTGTGTGTGTGTGTGTGTGTGTGTGTGTGCGTGCGTGCGTGCGTGTTTTAAGACTGAAAGCAAAATCCCTTACTGCGGAGGGGGGGGGGAGAGAGAAAGAGACAGAGAGGGAGGGAGAGAGAGAAATTTCAAGCACCCACCCACCTCTCTTCCCATCCCTTCAGCTCCCATGCAGCTTCAGAAACGGCGTCGGCGCTGCCTCCGCAACCGCGTTTCAAACCAAGGGATCGAGCGCGGAATTGAGGGTCGCGGCCGAGGCGAGCCGACAGGTGACGAGGTTTGGCTGCAAGGTGGGAAGGGCTGAATCCGCCCAGGGACGAGGAACTTTTCAGAAGCCGGCAGCGAAGCCTCGCCACCCCCGGGAGAGAAAAACCGGCCCGATTGCCCTTGAAGAGTTGCTGGGTCCCCAATCTCAGGAATGGTCGGAATTTATTATTATTATTAGTATTCATATTTTATTTGGCCTTCTTTCATGATTTCTTGAGAGTGCCCGACTGCCCCCTCCAGGGAGGCGATTTCGCAGCATGGAACCCGAGACCTCGGCGGCACCGCGTTAAGACGGCGGCGGCATTCAAGCCAGCCCCCGCTTTCCCCTCAAAGTCCCACTGAGAGGATCGCGCGGGAAACCGCTGAGTAAGCCGGCCGGCGCCTGGCGTTGCCTTCCCCGCCTTCTTGTCACGCTTGCTGCGCCTGGATCGCGGCGTCTAAAACCCGGCGGAGTTTCGGAGCGCGAGTCCCTCCTTCCTTCAAGCGGTGCGGGGGCTGCCAGCGCCGGGCACGTGCTCGCTGTCATTCCGAGGGCAGCTCTCCGGGGCCGCGTCTGCCCGCCGTCTGCCCGCTCCACGTGCTGCCGGTCCCAGCGAGCGAGCGACCCTCTCCCCTTCCCGGGGACTAGGTTGTACGCCCGCCGCTCCTCCTTCTCCTCCTGCTTTTCCTCGAGCTGCCGTCGCCGCTGCCGCCGCCGCCGCCGCCGCTGCCTGGGACTAGCCGCCGCCCCCTTCTCCGGTGGATGCCGCCGGGAAGCGGGCGGAGCGCGCAGCCGGGGAGGGGGGCTGCCGCGGCCGCCGGAGTACATGCCAGTGCCCTCTCCTCCTCTTCCTACCAGAATGCTCTACTTCCAGATGGTGATCATGGCAGGGACTGTGATGCTGGCTTATTACTTCGAGTACACCGACACCTTCACGGTCAACCTGCAGGGCTTCTTCTGCTACGAGAGCGCCTACCGCAAGCCTTACCCGGGCCCGGAGGAGAGCAGCGCGGTGCCCCCCGTTCTCCTCTACTCGCTGGTGGCGGGGGTGCCAGTCTTGGTGGTAAGCATCTTTGCGAGCAAGCTCGAACGGCCTCTTTTGCCTTCCTCTTCCCTCCGCTCTCCCCTTTCTCACGACCGCTTCGAAAGTGCTGCTTTCCAAGCCTTTCAAGTTGCTCAACTTGTTGCTAAGTCTCCCCCAGGCGGCCCGGGCATCCCGAACTGGGTTGGGCAAGATAGAAAGAAAAAAGAGGCCTCCGTATATCTATATGTCTTTGTGGGTGTAATCTGTCCTGGCCCGATTTTAAAACAGTCGGGTTCATCCATATACGCCTGGGATGATTTTTTTTCCCCCTCCCTGGTTTGATGGTGTATTATCTCCCATTTGCATGACCTTCTTTCCAGCTGAGATCAGCCCCGTTGCCTTTTCCTTATCTCGGGATTGTCCATCTCATTTTACTTGGGAGTTCCCGGCTAAATTGCCAGAGTGGTGGTGGTGGTGGGAGCCCTTTCTGGGTTTGCCTCAAACTGGAAGAGCCATTTTCTAAAGATCGCTAGTATCCTCAGCCTCCTCCCCCTTTCCTGAAGCTGGCAGCACTGGTTTTGGAAAGAAGATAACAGCACTGGATTTTTTAAAAAATGCTATTATTTCATTGCATCTTTATTTTGTTCAGTGCATAGGTTAGTCACTGATGAGCAGGCAGGTTCTGGTGGTGTGTAATCTTGCCACATGAAAATATTTCTGCTAGCCAAAATGACAGGCTTGTCTTTTTCCGGATGGTCAAACAGGAGACAGGAATAGGCATTTTTCTTACTTCTGCTTCAGCCCTTCCTGCATGGTGAGGGGATGCCAGAAGGTGAGGTACAGGCAAAATTTTTGATGTGGGGTTTTGCGGTATCTTTTAAAAGAAGATACATGAATTGGCTGTTGAATGGGAGCCAGCTGGCTTCCCAGGAAAAAGAATTATCAAGGAGCATCTGTCTTGAAAAAGCTCAGGATACAAGTTGTAATGTCATTAGACAAAAGTGTTTAAATAGTCCCTCAGCATATTGAAGCCATGAACAAAAAGGAGAGGGTGTGACCATTCAAAGTGGGATATATTTAGGCACAAATGCGCGCACACACGCTTAGATGTGCAAGACACTGATAAAATGATGCTACTGGGATTCTCCCTCCCAGCAATAAATTTAAGGCAAGAAAAATGGAAAGGGACAATTTGGAATGTGCAGTTTTATAAACACACTGTCCTATAAATTTCGGTCAGACAAATAATGCCACCAGGGCTATGCTAGAAATCTCATTGGTTATTACATCCTGGAGCCTTTCACATTAATTTAAAGCCATAAAGCCACTTAAGCCCTAACGATAAAGTATTTGAAGCTGAGCTGGTAGTTTTTCTTCCCATTGTATATTATGATTTCTCCAGTTGAACACAATGTTTTAGCCTATTCTGGGATAAAAAACAGCTCACATTACAATATTTTTGTTATAATATACATCCATTTCTGGAAAACCAGGAAACCAATGCCTCCATCCCATTGCTTTAGTTTAAATTATCACACCCATATTGGCACATAGGCACATAATATATTTTTACCAGTTACAGTTTGGTATTATGATGTCTTAAGGATGGGCACATATAATTTCTATGCTCATGCTTGGAAAAAAAAACAACACTGAATTCCCAGGCCCGAATTCTGCATAAACAAGCTTAAAATTGTGTTGTAACTTAGTCCTCTGAGTTTATGATGAGAGGTGTTGGACAGTGTCAGGAAAAGAAAGCTTTTTTATTTAAAGATGTCTTGTTTCTGACACATGTAGGCCTTTAAAGAAACAAATAGAAACTTAGAAATGTGCTTTGCCTTTGCAAAATATGTATCAGATTAATCTTGCTTTCTCTAGACAACGCCATTGTTGATGAACACTGCTGGAGAATTGACTGAATTGTACAGAGGGTGATGAGTTTTCTTCATGTTATTTTGTTAGCTTGGCATTATTTTCCCTATGAAATATATATTTTTAAGAAATCCTTTATTTTGGGGGGAAGTCATAATTATTTAAACATGTGCATTTCAGGAAAAATAGAATCCAGAGAATGTTTACAGTGGTCATTCTTTATTTCCCCAGTCCAGACTTTAATACATAATCTCCTCCAATCCCAACTGTGCATGCTCACTAATTCACACTAGATTTGTGGGTGTGGTTGCATCACCTCAGTGTCAACTGGAAAGGAGGAGATGTCAAAAAAAAAATGTTATTTCTCTAGGCATGGCTTTAAGAGAAGATTAAAGATGTCTGTTTTGTGTCTCTAGATTACTATCCCCAACACAGATTTTCTCAGCAACATTAAGTTCATCTCATCTAGTCATTATGGCTATAGATTACCTCTGGTATGTCTGTAAGTACTAGTTGCTAGGGAACATGAATGGAAGAGTGCTCTTGTATTCTTGTCCCAGTTGTGGGTTTCTTGTAGGATTTGCTTGGCTGCTGTGGGAACAGAATGCTGAATAGGTCTTATGGTTTTAATCTGTGTACCCATGATTATTTGCACCAATCTCTTTATGTTTACTCTGATTCAAAATGGCTGACAAACATTGCCTTAGCTATAGCTAAATGCCTCCCATATAGCTGAACATTCTTCATTATTTCATAGCTGTGTCTGTTCCCCCCCCCCCTTTTTTAATTTGGATTGTTCTTTTTGACCATAGAGATGTTCCTCCTGGAATTGGTATCTCAGGCCCAGGGAGTGTTTGCAACAAAAGAGAAGAAAGAAGCACAGAGAAGAGTTTCTCATTAAATAGTTCTTTTCACAAAGTTAAACCATTACATCCCAAACATTGTATTTTCAAAGATACAAGATATTAATTTTTATGAAGATTTGTGGCCAAGTGAAATATTAATAACCTGCTGCTCTAGCAATATTATTTTAAAATGGCCATTAAAATACTTTTTTTTAATTTATCCCCTGAAATGTTTCATTGCAAATAGGTAGCTACATTATTTATGGTTATTATATATTAAACAGATTGCTCTGTTCACTGTGAAGAAGATTAGGAATACAATGAAATTGCTTTGGAAGGGCTTCCATAATTAATATCATCAGCAGTCCAGAGGAGCTTGAAATGCAATAGATTATCTAATTTGAGGTATGCTCTCTCGAAGTATTTCTTTCCGTGCCAACTGACTGGTTTATATTTACAAGATAGAGGTCTGCTACAAATTCTGATGGAGGGAGGGAGGAAGCAGATGTGGAGTTACCCAGTTTTGTTCTTCAGAGCCAGCTCTTGTATATACAGAATCTTTCATATTCATTCCTGGAGAAGACAAAGTGGCTAAATTTCTTTCTCTCAGGGAGTTATGAACTGTTAGTAGATATCTATAATTTTGCTGGTAGCAAGTGAGTTTGTTTGAATGCTCCCACTGGGAGGGGTAACTCATGTTCAGAGACCAGAAGTAGACCTTAAGTGTTATTTTCATGGGATTTGTATCTCTACAGGAATCTGGATAAAGACTTTGACAGTTTAATCTATAGAAGTAAAATCCCCTTAGAAGGAGAAAAATAAAATCAGAGACACCCATTGATGTCATTGTCTTGTTGCCTATTTTTTTGGAAAAGATAAAAAGACCATGTCTTGCTCTGCACTGTGATTCGTTCAGGTTCTACTAAAACTGTTCATTGCAGAGATGATTGAAATTTAGCTCCAACAAAATACAGGTCTAAAGTTTAGGTTCTCCCCTCCCAAGTTTAATATTTTCCCCCAAGAAAATAAATGATAGAAATGGTAAAGGATTGCATTAAGAATGCTTGTGAGGATTAGGAGTGTCTCTTCCTAAAGTACCAAGCCCGCTACTCTCTTCCTAACAGAGTCCCACCTTATATTGTGTTTATTGGCCATCAAGCCTGTATGAAGCACCACCATTAGGTAGCAGGTGCTGGTAGTGGCAGTCCTTTGGCTCTAATTTCTAGCTATTCCCCCTTTATTTATTTTTTTTGTGATGGGGGAAAGACTGACAATCAGTTTCCATAAATAGAATGAGGGAGGGAATGTCAATTTGCCTTTGCCTTAGGCTGAAAGTTTGGTGCAAGCCCAGATTGATCACAGCAGAAAGCAATTAAATGTTGTGAACGTTCTTATTTATACTAGCAAAAGCAGCACAGGTAGAATGCCTGCTTGATCCGAAGGCAGAATTCTGTCTATGGAGTTTTTACATGCAATTCAGATAATAGAGTTGGAAGAAGTTCAATCTCCTGCTCAGCCCGGGAATCCAAATTAAACTATCATTGACAGATAAGTGTCTAGCCTCTGCCCACCACTTTCCTGAGTAATTGTTTCCACTGTCAAACTCGTCTGAGAGTTAGAAGCTGTTTACAAAATGGAACCAGAATTTGCCTTCCTTCACTTAAATCTATTGTTTCCTGCCCAGTACTCTGTCCAGCTCATCTTGACTAGGTATCCGATATATTTCAGGTATTTGGAGAGAGGTATTACTTAATATAACGTTGTCCATGGGGTCGCGATGTGTCGGACACGACTTCGCAATTAACAACAACAACAACAAATTACTTAATATTCCAGTTCCTTTAGTCTCTCTTTGTAGAACTTACTTTTTTAGATACTTGTTGCACTTCCCTGAAGCTCTCTCGGTTTCTCTGAACCCTTTATACAGTATGGTGTCTGTAACTGGACACAATACTTGAATGTTGAATGTTCTGACCTATTCAGAATGAAATAGAACTGAGTGTTCCTTTGTTGCATCAAATCTCTTTCTGTGCTTGAGAAAGCATAATTCTGTTGATGTTACCTGTTCAGTTTTATTCGGTTACAATTCCAGGTCTTTTACACAAGTACTATCCCCAAGTTAGACATCCTTTATGCCTATGCCTTTGAGCTATGTTTCCTAAGTGAAGAATCTTTCATTTGTCTTTATTAAACTTCACTCTGTTATATTCAAACCATAATCTATAATCTCACAACAGTGTTCTGAATTTTACTTTCGTCTTCTAGTTTATTTGCTAGTCAACCTAATCTTGTGTCACTTGCAAATTTGCTAAATGTTTCCTC